TATATATATCAAAAATAGTTCTAATTGAAAATGAAAGTTACTGACAAACTATTCTGATTATTTTAAATATATTTTTAATTTATATATATATATATATATATATTTTTAAATTGTGTTTGAGTATCTTTAATAATTCTTGCATTGATCTGAAGATATGTAAAATTTTATGTTTAGGTTCCTAGTCTATCAAAAGTATTTCTTTCTACATCTCAATCACTGTATTAAAACTAAGTTAGAATTTAAATGATTTCTTTACCTCACATTTATTTCTTGAACATATTTTTATTATATTCTCTTATTGTTTATAAATGAGTATACTAGTCTCAATATTTTCTTTTATATAGTTTTCTGTTGTACAGTTTTTTAAGTTGTAAATCAATTATCTCCTATACATAATGTTTTTATGACTAATTTAACAAATAATAAGAAAAATTTACAGATATCATATTTAAGTGCCTTTTTTTAAACTATCTTAATATAGTATTTTATAATTTAGAAATAGAATCTCAATTTATCACACTGAATCTATGGAAATAAGAGTTCCTATAATTCAATTTAAGATGATTTACTAAAAGACAGTTTTGTAGGAATCAGTAAAGTTACGAAAATGTGAATCTACTTACTAATTAATCTAATATTGATGTTCTGATCAAGAGTTTTTTTTTTATATCTACTTTACTTAATGTACATAATATTGATGAAATTGCCAAATTATTGCATTCATTTATAGTTACATAATGATGCAAACAATGGTATAAAGCTTTTTTGTTTCCCTTGTATTTCTCAAAATTAATTAATTAGATACACACATTCTTACATGCATGCAAATATGGTAATAGCAAATCTTTATATAATATGAAAAGTTTTAAAAAAAATGGAATTTTATATTTTGTAAATTTATTTATACATCATTCATTTTTTATGACTGAAAAATTTTATAGAAATTTTGTCAATTTCATCTTTTTGGTTTTGTTACTGAGTAATAGATGGCATAACTGGTTTAAAATTAATCAGAAAAACAAAAGAAAAATTTAAAATCTAGTATACATGTTGCTGGATTTAGTTTATATCAAGAATTATATCAATAAATTAAAAATGTATTACTAACATTGTAAAGTGTAGAAATTCATTAAAAAAAATAATTTTAACAGTCATGCAAAGAGAATTTTGAGACATTAAATTAACAAGTTCTAGTAAAAACATTATATTCACAATATAAAGAAACATACTTTTTTAATTTCATAAAACAGCATTTTTCACTTTTAATGACATTTCAACATCAGAATAATATGTCTCAAATGTATCAATATAGTAAAAAATGTTTTATTGTGTGCATTTTCTATGTAATAAAAAGTCATGTTTATAAGCATGAAAAGTATCCATTTTAAAAATGTATACAAATGTGAAAATTTAAAGCTTATATTCTTCTAAATAAATTCTATTTTCTTCTAAGAAATGTTGAATGAAATGCTATAAGTGTGTTTCAAAATGAAAGGAATATTTATTTAGTTAACATTAAACTTTTGAAATTGATTTTTGGTTACTTGGTATATCTAATGTATTGTATTTAAAATTGTAAAATGTATAAGTTATTCATTTTTATATACTTATACATAAGATTTTATTTTTATTTTAATAAAATCAAAAGTATTTCTTTCTACATCTCAATCACTGTATTAAAACTAAGTTAGAATTTAAATGATTTCTTTACCTCACATTTATTTCTTGAACATATTTTTATTATATTCTCTTATTGTTTATAAATGAGTATACTAGTCTCAATATTTTCTTTTATATAGTTTTCTGTTGTACAGTTTTTTAAGTTGTAAATCAATTATCTCCTATACATAATGTTTTTATGACTAATTTAACAAATAATAAGAAAAATTTACAGATATCATATTTAAGTGCCTTTTTTTAAACTATCTTAATATAGTATTTTATAATTTAGAAATAGAATCTCAATTTATCACACTGAATCTATGGAAATAAGAGTTCCTATAATTCAATTTAAGATGATTTACTAAAAGACAGTTTTGTAGGAATCAGTAAGGTTACGAAAATGTGAATCTACTTACTAATTAATCTAATATTGATGTTCTGATCAAGAGTTTTTTTTTTATATCTACTTTACTTAATGTACATAATATTGATGAAATTGCCAAATTATTGCATTCATTTATAGTTACATAATGATGCAAACAATGGTATAAAGCTTTTTTGTTTCCCTTGTATTTCTCAAAATTAATTAATTAGATACACACATTCTTACATGCATGCAAATATGGTAATAGCAAATCTTTATATAATATGAAAAGTTTTAAAAAAAATGGAATTTTATATTTTGTAAATTTATTTATACATCATTCATTTTTTATGACTGAAAAATTTTATAGAAATTTTGTCAATTTCATCTTTTTGGTTTTGTTACTGAGTAATAGATGGCATAACTGGTTTAAAATTAATCAGAAAAACAAAAGAAAAATTTAAAATCTAGTATACATGTTGCTGGATTTAGTTTATATCAAGAATTATATCAATAAATTAAAAATGTATTACTAACATTGTAAAGTGTAGAAATTCATTAAAAAAAATAATTTTAACAGTCATGCAAAGAGAATTTTGAGACATTAAATTAACAAGTTCTAGTAAAAACATTATATTCACAATATAAAGAAACATACTTTTTTAATTTCATAAAACAGCATTTTTCACTTTTAATGACATTTCAACATCAGAATAATATGTCTCAAATGTATCAATATAGTAAAAAATGTTTTATTGTGTGCATTTTCTATGTAATAAAAAGTCATGTTTATAAGCATGAAAAGTATCCATTTTAAAAATGTATACAAATGTGAAAATTTAAAGCTTATATTC